AATATATATATATGTCTTTTTCTTTCACTTGATAAATACTAATTGAGCACCTATTATACTACAGGCACTGCATTTTTATTGAAAAGCAAGAAACTACTCCCAGCTGTATAAACACATTTCCATAACACATACATGTGTTTCTGTGTAATGGGAGTGGGATGGAAGTGGTGGCAAAATCAACTTTCTAACCTCTGCAGGGAGATAGCTGGCAATCATTATGTACTCTAAATAATGTAAATGAAAACTAAGCCTATGAGTACTTCTTACTTTTCTTGCTCAGAATAGTAAGAACTTGTAGCACAAGGAAGCAAACCTCTTCAAAAAACAAAAATTTCCATCCCTCGTTTGTAGTTCCCAAAGGTCTAGAGATCTGACACCTACACTCTTGGCCAGACATTGCCTCTTCCCTCAGAAAAAAAGAAGGTAACTGGGAAAAATGGGGAACTCTGAATTTAAGGTAATAATTATAATGATTGAAAAAATTTTTATGTGTGCATGAAGATAGTGTTATAAGGCTGTTTCCTGGGGTACTATTTATAGGGAAAATATGGAAGCAAACTAAATATCCAAAGGTAGAGGCTTAGTTAAATAAATTATGGTATGTCTATGTGATGGAATACTGTACAGCTATCATTAATGATGTATAGAAGAATATTTAAAGATATAGGAAGATAGGCAATATAACTTCAATGAAAAAATGCAAGTTAAAATAGCATGTACTATATGATTCATTTTTGTAAAAAATATACATAGGTGTATGTACATATATAAAGAGAGGCAGAGAGCTATATATGCATATAATGGAAGAAAAAAAGCTGAAAGAAATATCACCAATATGTCACTAGTGGTTGTGGGATTATGGGGATGATTTTCTTTTTTTCTCTTAATTCATTATTTTCTAAATTTTATAAAAAATAAACATGTACTTTCAAGAAAAAGAAGTTATTAAAAGTATAATACGGGTTTTATTTAATTACATTGCTATAAATAAATCAAGTAAATTTTAAAGTTCATTTGTTAACTTTGCCTAAGATATGTTAAAATTATTTAAATGAATTTTCCTTAGGCAAACAAAAACAAGTCATACAAAAACAGTGAGATATAAGTACCTATATAAAAATATTATGTAGAATTTTGGGTAAATTTCTTTGGGGGACAATTTCTTTTCAACCTAATATACAAAGCTACCAATTTTTTTAATTCTAAAGGTTAGCAGAGATGAACTTCGTTCATCCACTCTGGGTACTTTTTGAGTTTTTACCATGTATAAAATACCTGTCCTCAGTTGTTTGGAGGATTAAAATGCATGTTTCCTTATACCTGAGGTGCTTACAGTCTACTTGGAAAGAGATCAAACATTCATGAATCTTCCAGATAACAAAGCCCTAAGAATTAGGACAGAGAATCAGGAATTATAGACAGCAAATGCCAGTGAGGTGAAGGTTATCAAAATTCTACTCATTCCTTTACTGTTCAAAAGGTCCCTCTTCCTGAAGATGCCTGTTTTGGGGCAATAATTTCTAGAAGTAAGTTATTCTATCTGCTGGGTGAGGACTCCAGTTAACATCCAGCCCAGAGCAATCTTTATTGAGGGCCCAACTGTCCTTTCCTTGTCCTGATCTCTGTTTCATTCATCTTGGGTCCTGAGTGGCCTCCCAAGCCAAGTTTATTTTGGGAACTCCAGACCATGTTCATCTCCTGAAGGAATGAGGAAGGAGAAGGTGGAGCTGGAAAATAACACAGTCCAGATTAACTACCGGTGATGGATGTGGAAACATGGAAAGGGCTGCCCTCAGCATGCTGACAAATAGCAGCCACCCCTTAACGTGTCTCTCCCAAACAGGGGTTAAACAACACCCCATTCTTCCAATCCTTACCTCTGAGGGGAGAATTATCGATGAGAATATTCACAAGTATTGAAAGGTGAAAGGTCTGATTGGAAAAAATGCTGAACTGGGAGCCCAGAGACCTACCCTAGTTCCAGCTAGCTCTGCCTCTAACTAGCTTCCCACTGGGCCTCCGTTTCCTCATCTATCAAATGAAGGGTTTGAACTGTTCAATTCCCAAAGCCTATATAGCTCCCTATAAATTAGAAACCATAAGGTTCCTGTGATTGTATGCTGAAATTTTTCCCCAGCCGTGAGTCATCTGTCAATCTCTGACCTGGCAAATACAAATTCCTCCCCAGTGACAGAAATCAAAATTCTTAATTCTCTTATGGGAAGGCTGTAGACACTGAATGTTTGTGTATAGTACTGTCTGGGAGGTTGAGGCAAAGGAAATGGATCCTAAATCCCTCCTGGGATTTAAATGAACAAGACAGGAGATGACATCAGCTACCATTGCCTCTGTGATCAGACTAAATAATACAAATACCAATATTAAATTATGCATGCATACTTTTTATTTTTGCCTCTCATGGCAAATCACAGGGAATCCTTTGCTTTTAGCCTTTAGTGCAAGGTTATAAAGGAAGAACAGGAAACATGAACACATAATTTCAGCATTTTAGAGCTACAAGTGATTTTCAAGATTAGGCCCAACCCCTCACCATTCTAATGAGAAAAAAAATGAAGGGTCCAAGATACGAAACAGTTCACTCCGGTGTTAACTTCCTGAAGTATGTTCTCTCAATTTGTCTCTCCTAAACCAACCGTAATTGGACAATACCACCAACTACATGCCAAAAAAGACAAAGAAAGGAACCTAAACTCTTTTAATGAGTTTCCTTTATTACAACTGGAGGAGCCATGCCAGAAGAAGACAGAGTTTCTCAGGATGAACATTTCTGAGACAGAAACAGTTCACTCTCCTAGACTGTATCCAGAACCAATTCCTCACCTCAAGACACAGCTGCTCAGTATTTCCATCTACTACCTTCCTGTCTCTCTAAAGGTAGGCAGGCAAGCATCATCACTTTATATGAGAATTGTTATGAGAATAATTTTGCTCAACAGGCCAGCCATTTGCCACCACATCACCTATCAGCTAAACAGGTGCTGCTTTAGTGTTGAATGAATAAAATCCAAATGCTAAAAATCTGTTTTTGTCACCAAGAAACATGATTTTTTGCTACTTTCTCCTCTCTCTTTGGTTCCCAGTGAATCCAAGCAAGTTACTCAAAAGTATCTCACTAAAGAAAAAAATTGGTAGGTCTATAAGAGAGCTGTTTATCTAAATTTGGTCAGCATTAGGGATCTAAGTTACTGGAATCACATAAGAACTCCTTCCTTGTCAATCCATTCCTTGTCAATCCTCACTATTCAGATGTATGAGATATGCCTTATTGTTACATTCCTCCTACCATGGGAAACACACACACTGGCTGTTTTGATATCTGATCACATTGGATATTTTGATATCTATACATTCCAGACCAGAATATCCTAGACTTCAAAATGCATAGACAGCTAGAACTGAAAGGAACTCTTAAGAGCATTTAATCCTATCTCCTTTCTTTACAACTAAAGAAACGGAGTTGCAGTGAAACAGAGACTTGTCCCTCATCACATGACTGGATAGTGGCAGTGCCAGGTCTAGTGGCCATGTCTGCAGTCTTCCTATCCAGGTTCTTTCCACAGTCCCTGCTGCTTTCCAGCATCAGTGCAGGCTTTCTAAACACTCTCGAAGGGCTTGATGAAGGCTGTTCCTTGGGAGTCAGCCCCTCCCATTCCAGAGCTGCCTCTGTTGTTCCACTGCATGAATTATAGATGAAAGAGATTACTAAAGCCTGATACCAGATGAGTTCCCTTTCTTACCCCAATGTCTTACATTCTGGCAATGAGGAAGGTGGGCGGCAATGTTTAGAGTTATCAGGTGGTCCCATAGTAAATTACAATTCTAATTTTTCCAAAATCCATTGTTGCTACGCAATGTGCAGTCAAGAAGGAACATTCTGGTTTTGAATTATGTGAGCAATTCAGTCATCTGGTTTGTGTCTAAGAATTATAGATAGCTAGTTGGCATGCAGAATTTGGGGCAGCACCGTTCTGACAATTTTGTGACAGGAAGTCTGGTTTCATTAAACTCCTACCTTCTAGCTCCAGTGACGCTCATCCAGGCAGACACTGTTAAAGACTAACAGAGGGACACAGGGAAAGAGATTTCAACATGACATGATAATTACCTGCATTAGAACCCTGCCTCTGCGCGACACTAGCAGAATGACTTTAAGCAGTACATTTGGTTTCTAAGCCTCCCTCCCTCTCCTTATCTGTAACATGTTGAACAGGTTTGAACTTGCTATGTGTATATATATATATATATATATATATATATATATATATATATATATATATATATATATACTGTATTACTGGGCCAATATTATAATTTGTAAGGATGAGTTAACTCCAGAAATAAGAATACAGCAATAATATGAAAAATGTTTAAAAAACAAAACAAAACTTTTTTGTGGTCCCACAGGCCTAACTAGGTAAAACCCTGTTCTGCATTTACTGGTTGTGTAATCTTAAGCAAGTTTCATCTTCTTCCTCTTTTTGTTTTAACTTTTCACGAAAAACTCCAAACACACTCAAAATGGAAATGCTAGAATAATTAAAATTATGTACTAGTCACCAGCTTAAGCAATTTTCAATATTTTGCTAATATCATTTCATCTCTCTTTCTCAAACTTTTTTCCCCTGAGGTATTTTAAAACACATTTGGGCAAGTTGTTGTTTTAAAGATTTCTGTGATTCAATTTTCTCATCTAGGAAATGATTGGATTATAACATCTAATTCATAGGGTAGAACTGTACTGAGTACTCAATAAATGGTAGCTATTACCACTGTTTACGCTGGTGCCTATGCACGCCCTCCTGGCAGCGAAGCGCTCCTGGCTCCAGACAAGAGGTTATTAAACAAACAGCTTCGGGGAACCCGAGTCCTGCGTTGCTAAGATTGCGGCCGCCCCCTGCAGGCGAGCCGTCTTCAGAACAGCTGGGTCAGGACGAGGATTGTCCCTCGCAGGCTCCCGTCACTGCGCGCGAAAGTGAGGGGCGGGAACAGGAAATGGGGTTGAGCCTAGTTCCGTGCGCAAGGCGGCCGCGGTGAGGAGCAGAGCGCAGCGGCTAGAAGCTGGTGGGGTACAGCCGCGATGTTCCGTATCGAGGGCCTTGCGCCCAAGCTGGACCCCGAGGAGATGAAACGGAAGATGCGCGAAGATGTGATTTCCTCCATACGGAACTTCCTTATCTACGTGGCCCTGCTGCGAGTCAGTGAGTGTCCTTCCAGGCTGTAGCCGTAAGAACAGCATGGAGCTCGCTGACACCGCCCACCCAACTCTGGTCCTACAGGCCTTTGGGGGCCCTTGAGCTGGGCTGAACGGTCACTGGGAGCCAGGGACTGGCGCATGGGGGGAAGCAGGCGCATGCGCGGCTAAGGTCTGCGGGTCAGAGTTGGGGTGCTGAAGTGCTACGCGGGGGCTCGGATTGCGTGGTCAGTCGTCCAGCCTTGCTCTGCTTTAAGAGCGTTTGAATTAAAAGAGCTTCAAGGGTTGTAACTCAGAGCAACTCCCTCGTTTTGCAGAGAGAAACAGAGCTAGAGTAGAGATATGGCTGGCTCAAGGTCACTTAGCAATTCAGAGAGTGATCTTGACCTGGAATCCAGACCTCTTATCACCAGGTTTTTTACTTCAGTGCTGACCTTTGAAATCCAAAAAGTTTTGCTTCCTTTGTTTATTGGTACAGTGCATAAAGTAAATAATTGCTTTTGGGGGGAAGGAGTGAGAAAAGAATATGGGTCTACAGGATTTAATAGGGTTTACTTAATTTTACATTTGGCTGAAACTTACTTGCTTTATTTGGACTTGACAGTAGCCCTTTGAGGGAGGCAGGGCCTAAGATTCTGTAAATCCCTTTTGTTAATGAAAACTCGACTTTCAGAGGCAACTTACGCAAGAGATGAGAGTTGCAAGCACATTGACTATTAGAGCTGGAAGCAGCATTGTAGATGACATCTCTAGTTTTAGATGCGAATCTCAGACCCCCACTCCTGTCTCATTCTCAGTTCAATACTCTTCATTGCTCTTTGCTGTATATTGTTGGCATGTCTGCATGGAGAGACCGGGACCATTCAGATGAAGGCCATACCAAGGTCATCTGTAGAAGGCTCACGTTGGGCCTAGGTCAGAACTCACTGAGGCCAGGTCTTCCTCATTCCGTGCCCCTTTCACTGCCTATGGTATTACTCTGCTTACCCAGGAGAGGGAGCCCTGGTACATAAAATTCCCAAGTCATCCTGCTCCTTCAGCAGCTTTTTGCAATGCCAGCTTATTTCCACCTTTTACCACTTTTTGTTGACTTAGCTGCCAGTAAAATATTTGCTTCTTCTCAATGACCTTTGTATTTGATATGCATTTGGGTTTTTTTAAAAAAATACAGAAATACTGTTCAGTATTATCACTTTTTAAATTGAGATCTAATTTACATATTATACAATTCACCCATTGAAAGTGTAGGATTCAGTGGTTCTTAATATAGTCAAAATTGTGCAGCCATCACCACAATCTATTTTAGAACATTATCTTTGCCTTTAAAAGAAACACCATGCCCATTAGCCGTCATTCCCCATTTTTCCCCTTCCCCAGCCATTAGCAACCACTATACATTTTGTCTTTATGGATTTGCCTATTCTGGACATTTCATATAAATGGAATTATATAATATGTGACCTTTGTGTCTGGCTTATTTCACTTCACAGAATGTTTTCAAGGTTTATTCATATAGTAGCAGGTATTATTATTTCCATTTCATTGCTGAATAATATTCCGTTGTATGAATAGACCACATTTTGTTTTTTCATTCACTTGATGGATTTTTTTTTTCTCTGATACGAATTAGTAGAAAAGACTGGACATACTGCTGACTTTGTCAGCTTCTGACAGGTCTCAGTATCTTTAGTGTAATATTAATGATGTTTATTTAGTATGGATGTTGAGAAAAGATCATTCTGGCAGCTTTTTTGGTCACAACTCTTTTTCTCCCAATTTTTAAAATTGTGTAAAATACACATAAAATGAAATATACCATGTTAACTATTTTTAAGTGTACAGTGTAGTGGTATTAAATATTCATAATGTTGTGCAGCCATCATCACCATCCATCTCCAGAACTCTTTTCATCCTGTAAGAATGAAACTATACCCATTAAACAATAACTTCCCATTCCCTCCTCCTCCCAGCCCCTGGCAACCACCATTCTACTTTCTGTCTCTTATGATTTTGACTACTTTTAAGTACCCCATATAACTAACTGGCTTATTTCATGTAGCATGATGTCTTAAGTTTCATCCATATTGTAGCACATGTCAGAACTTCCTTTTTAAGGCTGAAGGATATTCCATTGTATTCCATATTTTGCTTATCCATTCATCCATCTTTGGACACGTAGGCTGCTTCTACATTTTAGCTACTATGAATAATGCTGCTATGAATATCAGTGTACAGATATCTCTGTTATTTTTTTTTGAGGAACCACCATTCTGTACCATTTTACATTCCCACCAACAGTGCGCACAAAGGTTCTAATTTCTCCACATCCTTGCCAACATTTTTTTTTATAGTAACCATCCTCATAGGTGTGAGGCAGTACCTCCTTGAAGTTTGAATTTGCATTGCCCTGATGATTAGTGACGTTGAGTGTCTTTTCATGTGCTTATTTTGGCCATTGCATTTTTACACAGGACCATAATATCATTTCTTTAGATCCCAGGACAGCACTTCTCATTGTCTGGAGATTTCCATCCACTCCATCCTAACAGGCCCTAACAATAACTAAAGCAGGACCGTACCATATGTGATCTGGAGCGCATAAGTGATATATAGCTAATCCGCGGGGGAATCAAAAGGTGTGTCTGGCTCTTCTGGTTCCCTAGTTCGGTGCTGTGTTCCTACCCCTACCCTCTGCCTTCTTTCAAATGCACTTTTAAAAGTAAAAGATACCAATTTTCTTCTAGAATTTTGTACCTTTGACAGTTAAATCACCAGAGTAAAAGGATTGTCATTTGAAAGAGTTTTGGATTTACTCTTCATGGCCTTAAGAGGTCGAACTACCTGGAGAAAAGATTTCATATAGTGTGTGAATGAACTATATAAGAGTGATAGCTGCATGACCCTGGAATGGGCCACCTGGAAAGACAAGGAGTCCCTTTTGCTGGGTTGTGCAGGCAAAGGCTTGGCCATCACTTGGAGTTGTTTTCAAAAATGTATTGAAGTAAACCTGTAAGGCATATCCCCCAGTCTTATAAATCCATATCACTTGTGGGCTAATAATCTGAAAAAGTTGGGTTTATTTTTCTTTCAGCTCCTTTTATCTTAAAGAAATTGGACAGCATATAAAGATTGGACATCACATGTGAACGCATGATATGAAGAACCTGGTTACAGTTTCTACTCTGCAAATGAATAGCCCAGAAAGATGTAAGAGACTCTTTGACTGACTGGACATAAAACTTCTACTTGTTAAGAACAAGTTTGGCTCTGGTAACTGACCTTCATAGCTAAAATATAAAAACTATTTGGGAAGTATGAAAGATATTTTATGGCCATAGTATGTCCTTAATACCTGTGATATTCAGCCTCCATGAATGTTGGTGTAATTGTAAATAATATCAAACTCCATTTCCTAGCAAATATTAATTATGACAGGGAATTATGTCTGCAGTGGCCCTGTCTTGTCAGTCATTTCTGTTTACCTTTTTACTTCTGTCTGGAATATATTTGGTGAAGAGCTCCTTATGATTAGTTATGTTTTATGGAAGCCAGTGCACAGACAACCACAACAACATTTAAGCACAGGACCATTAGTCTATATTTTTAATAAATGTACCAATTAAGAAAAATTGTTTTTCTTCTTAACGTGCTTTTTGCTGCAAACCAACAATCACTGATGAGACTACTGTAATATTGTAATTATTACAACTGCATGAAATTGAGTTCCTCTTGTTTTGAACTGGAGAATTTGCTAATCCTGATGAAGTGACATTGTTTGTTAATCTTTGTGAAAGACAACGATACTGCTTGATGCTGAAAGAATATAATATCACCAAAGGAAAAAACGGTGTATTTTTAGGTCAGATAGTTCTCCAAGTTTGTTGGGGAAGGGGACAGTCCTTAACCTTCTTTACAGAGGCAACACAACTATATTCACCCCTTTTTAGCTAATTATTTTAGTATTTACCTCATGTCTGTAAATAGCATGATTGTATTGTTATTTTACGATTTTCCTGTTTTAGACATTGCCTGCTCACTTCTCCGCATATAAGGATTTAGGCTTTTTCCTCCCTTTACCTCCATCACTCGCACATCTCTTCTCATTTCTTGTTCCAATGTATGTATCAGTATGGTTTTGATTAGATCAATTTCATTAGGACTCCAGATGCTGTTCCTTGTTTTCATTTCCTGTACATCTTTTTGTTTTTTTGGTAGGCTTAGTTTTCTATGAATTTACCACTAAGTCAGTTCAACTTTTTGCCATTTATGTAAATTGTTCACAATGTTCAGTTTCATTAGATACACTGTTTCATCTTGTTGAATGAGTTTTTCCTAGAGCTTTCTGACCTGACCCAGCCTGGAAACAGTCTTGTATGCCTGGCATAAGATCATATTTTGGGATCTTATGATCATAAGATCATATCATAAGATCATCTCTCTTCACCATCATCCTGGGAATTTCTTTTCCTCTCCTCCTATGTTGGATCTCTGATTTTCTGTATCAAGTACAGTACCCCTGCGCATAACTGCTTGGCATCTCACAATCCAGGAATCCTCTATTTTACCCTTTTCAGAGAAATAAACTTCTAATTTTAGGAGGAGAGGCTGCTTAGCAATGTAGAGTTGCAGAGAGCATCTGTCTACTTAAACCTCAACTAATTCTTATTTTAGTGTCTACCCCTTCATCTTCTACTTTCACAGGTACCGTATTTGCCGGCGTATAAGACGATTTTTTGGCCCTGAAAAATATGCCTCCAAGTGGGGGGTCGTCTTATACGCCAGGTACACTTCAGATAGACTGCCCATAGTGCTTGCCCCATGCCATAGTGGCCTCCCGATGCCCGCCCACTTCATTCCACATACCGTTCAGGCATCAGCAGCGCTGCTGGGTGTATGCTCGGCTGTTATGCGATTTTGCTGTTATGCGATTTTACCACACTCGCAAAATCGCACACAGCCGACCATATAACAAACTGTATTTTGAGTGGAAATGTTAGGGGGTCGTCTTATATGCCGGCAAATACGGTACATGAAACCACCAAATCCTGGGCCTTTTAGGGATTCTGTGATGTAAACTGGGTTGCTTGTTTCACTTTTCCTACTGTTGACTCAGGATTCAGTTTTCTTGGGTCTGCCATGTTATTTACTGCTCGTCCGTCTGCTTTCCAACTTCTAACTTTGTTGCTGTTGTCTCCTCTTCTTTCATCCTTTTGGGTTTATACCTTAAAACAAACAGAAATCTTTGCTGTCATTAAATGGAGTTTCAGGAGACAGTGGAAATAGGTGCATGTGTTCAATCCACCATCTTTACCCAGGCAGCATGTATTTTAACCTTGTGGTGCTGTGTTTCATGTTGGTAATTTATACCCGTTCCTGACTTAAGGAGGTACAGTATTTGGTACCATGGTCATAAACACTCTCTCTGAAGACAGGCATACTTGATTTTGAGTCCTGGCTCCAACACTGATGAGATGGATACCTTTAGCAACTGAGCCTCTAAATCTCATTTTTTCACCTGTAAAAATAGCAAAATAGAAACACCTAGCTACTTCAAAGTGTTGCAAGAGTGAAGTGAGGGAACACAAGTAGAGCATTTAGCACAGTGCCTGGCATTTGGTAAATGCTGGTTATTATTAATGATTAGTCTTCAGGATAAGGTGTTTAGAAGTGATTTGTGCTGGCATTCACTGCGTTATTAGGTTTCATTCATATTTCCAGATGCTGTGAGATAGCATGCTTGTCCTCTAATCGTATACAGACTTCAGAATTACCAAATACTTAAATTCATTATCTAAAAACAGCTTTAACCAATCGATAGTAATGCCATTTTACAGATGGGGAGTTTGAGCTGAAAGTTTCAGTGGCTAATAAACAATAGCTGGCCAAGGCTTGGGGACTTTTAATGTTTGTTTATTGTACCCTATCCTTAAGTGCTTTTCTCCAGTACTAATAACTTAGCCCCCCCAGGCCTTATAGTCTCTTCACTCTACCACTAGTTTCCGTGCTTCACCTTCCTCATGTCTCAGCTTAGATTCCATTAGCCCTCCCTGTAATCACTCTTGTATACACATCTTCCACTCTCTTCCCTTTCACTAGCTTCCTTGTACTTCCCTGGCAAGACCCAACCCTGGTTAAATCCAACGCTCTGCCTGCTGTGCGCCTGGCCTGTGCAGTTGAGTGTGGCTGGAAAGAAAGCAAACATGCTGATAGGATCCACCTGGAGAATGATGACTCCTAACCTTGCTTGGGTCCTGCAGGACCACTGCATTTCCGAAGGTCATTCTTCTCTACTAGGCACACATTTCATACCTGCTCCTACCTCGAAATTCCAGTATCTCCTCTCTCATCTTTAAGCTTAGCCAATGACGTTGCTTCGTATTTCCCTGAGAACATAGAGACACCCAGAAAGAAGTGTCCATAAATTTACCCCATGGTACCTACGCACAAACCAGCACTCCTCTCCTCCCTCGCGTTAGAAATGACTGTGCTCCTAAGGCCACGCCTTTTCCCTCTATAACCTAACAGCTGTCACTGTTGTTAGCAAGCCTTTATTGTTTAGAAGCTGTTCATCACCAAAATAAGCAAGTCTTATTTTTTTATTGATTCCATCTGTTAAAAGGTGCTTATTTATCCCTGATTTGACAGAAAGCATGTAATTTTGTTTTTCAGCCTGTTTTCTTTCTTCAGCATATTGAACTTAGATCACTGTTAATTGTTTCACCATTCCTGAGTTTACAGAGATTAACAGAGGAGGAACTGGAGGGAACCTAGAAACTTTGCACTAGATAATACAGACTCACAATATCACTTATTTCCTTCTTTCCAATTTTGTGTGCAAATAAGATGGTGAGATAGCATATTTTTAATGCAGTCATGTGCCACACGATGCTGTTTTGGTCAACAACAGACCGCATATGCAACGGCGGTATACCATATAGCCTGGGTGTGTAGTAGGCTATATGTTGGTCTGTAAGTGTACTCTGATGTTCACACAAGGTCAAGATCTCCAAACATCACATTTCTTAGAAAGTAACCCTGTTATGAAGTAGCGCATGACTGTAACTGTTTTTTTTAGAAAAAGGACTATAAGGTAAATGTGTCTTCTTGTTTATGGGTAACTGATTTTCTGTTCACATATAATTTTAAGTGTAAATGGGTGTGGGTGTCATGTACTTGGAAATTAACAAGTACTCGGGATGGCTGGAGGGATTTTCATACAGATTCCTCTTGGTGGTGGGCTGTCTGCCACAGGAGAGGTTCAAGTCTAATAGGGAAAAGACACCAGCAGTGAGTATGTTACATAAGGCTGTGTCAGGCATCAAATGCAAAGGTGCTTTCCAAAACGAGCTGCACACCAAATCATGTGGAAACTTTTAAACAAAAGATCCACTGAATCAGAAGTACTATGGATAGAGCCCAGGGATCTTTTTTTTAAAAAGCATCTAGGTGATTTAATTGACTTAGGATCTGCTTTGGGTGACCAATAAGTGAATTTGCCTTAAGGTCCCTTTCAATTCTGAAATTCTGGACTGGTTTAGGAAAAAGAATCAAATTAAACTAAAAATGAAAGCAATTTTAGATTGCATTAACAAAATTACAACATTAACGTCTCCAGGTCTGATGGATGTTTTAAGAGTAGCCACCTTGCCAGAATAGAGTTTGGCAGTTAAGAGTACTAAAAGTGCCTGGAAACCATGCTACTGGAGATACCATTTTAAAAAATTAATGGTGCTTAGCTCTGACCTACAGTAGGCGTCTGAGAGCTGTTTTTCAAAACTAAAAGGGTTGTCATGTCAAAGAAAGGAAAATTGTCTCAGAGGGCACATAGGATAAGTGTTTGGAAAGCTAAGAAGGAAGGTTCCTTCTTGAACTCAGAACTACTGTGACCAAGGTGGACTGGAAGAAGTTTGTAAGCAGAGTCTGAACATTGATGCTCTGAAGCAGGAAGTGCTGCTATGGAAAAAAAAGTTTCTTGTTACATTTTTTTCCCATTACTGAAATCTACTTGAATACAAGTACTATCACATTTTTCTGTCCCATATAATATCTTTACAAAGAAGGGGCTGAATAAAAGATTACTGAATTGAAGGTGAAAGAATAACTGACTTTCCAGATGCTACATTGTTGTCCAAGCCTCAAAAATATTCCCAGTCTATTTGGTAGAAGTGTTCACATTCACACATATTTATTCAATGGCTACAGACGGCCAGATACTGTGGTAGGTGAGGGTTACAGCAGAGAGGAATTCAGTCATGATACCTATCTTGAAGAGGCTTACAATCTAGCAGGGGAGTCAGACATTACATAATTTCATCACTGATTACTTCATTATATAAACTGCTAGGAGCGGGAAGTACAGGTAACAGAATATGGCTTAGGGAACCTTGACCTACTGGGTTGGGGAGGAAGCAAGGAGGACTGCGGAAGAAGTAATACATCAAGTAAGATTTGGATTCCTAGGAACTGGGCTGATAAAGGAGTGAGGAGCCTTTGAAAAAGTGTTAATGCAGATAAAGAATAAGGCCAATGTGGCTGAAGTGTGTTGAGCACAGAAGAAACCTTCAGTCCTTTCAAACGACTGTCACTTTTATATTCAAACTTATGAGTCCTAAGAAAGAGATCCCATTCTGACATCTGCTGGCTGTTGTGTATATACTGCAATTCCAAATTTGACTACAAAAGAACCTTCAGTAACCTATTTTTTTGAAGGCTACAATAATAATTTGGAAATGAATCACATGTCTTTTTCTTTGTATTATGGCCCACACAGGAGACAGTGTACAGTTGTTACATGCTATTTGCATGCACTCAGTATCACAGATATGCATCTGTGGTACCATTTGCCGACTTTTGTACAAGTTCACAAAAACAGACATCACAAACATAAAAGTTGAACAGATTTGTCACTGAGATGTAAAAACATTACAAAATCACTTATTTACTTTGTCTTTTAAACAGTAACTAATGAAATATTTTCTGTTATGAAATGCTCTTAAATTGTTTCCTTCATAAATAAAACACAGCTGGCTTTAATCCAATAAGCATTCTACTAGGCTAAAGATCTACTTTAAGCATATCATAATTTTTCCTTTCTCACATTAATAGTATTTGCATTTTCTGCTTATATCTATAAAGGACAAAAATGCAAAACAATTAATATTACATAAACAGCTGTACAGACAGTGATACTGCTGCATTTGAAACTTACTGTTACACTGGCAGGTGCCTCGCCAAGCAGTTGCTTGAAGTATTCCTTAATCAGCTGACATTAAAAAAAAAGTATGAATTTGAAGAACAAAGGGTGATTTATGGACATCAATATTAATGTGAAAACGTGGGTTGTTGGAGAATAGAGATCTATATATTAGGAAGGAGCACTAGGATTAATTCAAAGTCCTGAGTTACAGCTTCCGTTTTGCTATTGTGTGACTACATATATGAGTCAGATCTTTTACTTGCAAACACCAAAATCCAGTTTGGGTAGATTTAAGGAGAAAAGTAATTTAAAGGATTATAGGTAGTTTAACATCACCTGGAGGCCTAGAGAATTGGGTTTGGAGACTGGGCAGTTGGAACATCACCCTTTGTCACATGGCCACTCCAAACAACCTGGTTCAGTGAAGATACCAACTGCTGAGGATTAGATGCCACCATTTATTGCCAAGTCCACAGGCACAAAACTCTTGACTATCATGGCAGCCACTGTTGCTCTACGAACTTCATCTTGCTGCATTTACCAAAAGTCATCAAACAATTATTCTGTGACTCCACTGTGTGGTTCCCAATTAAAACCAGGGAATATTTAATTTGTAGTGTTACATGGAGAAGCAGAGAAAATATCTGATTTCAGCTTCTATAGTGAAAGGGATGCTCTTGATTCCCAACAAATCCTTAAGATGGGGAATGACCAAATGTAGGGAGGGAATTCAGCTCCTATGTTGACTGGACAAAGCACTCCGAGTCTCACTTTTCTATAAAGGAACGTAAATAACGTTCACGTGGCTGAGGAGATGGTTTTCGTTTACTCATTCATTTCACAATAAATACCAACTGTGTCAGGATGCAAAGATGAGGAAGTTGGGTCTCGTTTAATGGAAGAGAAAAATCCATAGCAAGTGGTAGGATAGAGGTATGGACAGGAGAAATGAGGGCAGAAAGAAGAGGATTCAACTGCAACTTGCAAATGATATTATTTAAATACTTCTATAAAAAAACAGATTTTCCATTCGGCAAGTGATGCTTGTACCACTAATGGGAAAGAGCATGCTTTTGTAGAAAGCTGCTGTTGCACTCATTTAAAAAGCTTAATTGTTTTATAGAAATGCCAAAACAATGTTGGCTGGCACAAATCCAGAAATTCAGGCTTTTGATTATTGACAGACATATCTAAACTGCCAGTTTCATAGAGTGGGGTACGTTTCAAAGGATTAAACATGTCATAGCTTTGCCAGTCATCAATTACGTAAACATCAGACTCATTGTAGTGTGAACCACCCCTGTTCAGATCTGACCTAAGTCGGAGTGGTCTTTTCTACTATATCTGGCTACTGTGTATACAGCTTTGTGTCTGCTTAAAATAAACTGTTGGCTTTAGGCTTAGGGTGTTATTTTTTTTTCAATTTATAAAAGAGCAGCTGCATGGTAACTTGGGCCTCACCCAGAATCTGCAACAACACCAAATTCATCATATGGTAATAGATGGAATACATTTTTATAGAATACAGTCTATAGAACCAGGGACTGGCAGGTCAATGGGACCAGAGGGGTCAGCTATTAACAAACCTCAGTCTGGTGCAACATTTTTTCATAGGATTCTCAAGTTAGATTTGTGTAGCTGACATCCTCTTCTAAAATCTGGAGTCTGTCGCCAACTGCCTTTTTGATTGCCTCATTTGGATGACACAGGCTTCTTAAATTTAGCAAGTGCAAAATTGAATTCTTGATCTCCCCTCACCTCCAAATATGTTCCCCTTACAACAGTTAACATTTCAATAAATAGCACCTCCATGGACCCCGTCAGTAGGTTAAGCTATAAGCCTGGAAATCCTCCCCCCCACCACCCCAATATCAAGCCAGTTTTGACTACCTCAAAAATGTGTCTCAAATCCATTTCTCTCCATCTTCACTATTACTCCAGCCAAGTCTTAACCAATTTCCCTGCTTCCACTCTTAACCTTTGTCTATTCTCCACATAGTAGCTGGCATACTTAAAAAAAGAAAAGGTATCGAATCACCCACAGTCTCCATCCATTCAATGGCTTCCTTTTACATAAAATTTTAAAATCGTTATCATGGCCTACTAAGTGCTGCCTGATCTGGCTCCTAACTACCTCTCTAAGTGACACTGTTCACTCCTTACTCCAGTAAGCTTCTGACAAACTAGACATGTCTTTACCCAGAGAGCAATCTTCTCTCCTCTGCCACACCCCACCCAAGAGCTTTCACAGGGGCTTGCCCTCCTCTTTTCTGGCCAACTCTACCTTTCTGATAGGTCCCTGACCGCTTTCCCTTGCCCCCTAATTTTATTATTTTTTTAACTTTATTGGGAAACTGTTTTTTCCAGGACCCATAGCTTCAAGTCAAGTTTTTAATCTAGTTGTGGAGGGCGCAGCTCACTGGCCCATGTGGGAATCAAACCTGTAACCTTGGTGTTAAGAGCCTGCACCTGAGCTAACCAGCCACCCTGCCCCCTAATTTTAAATCAAGGTTTCTTCAGTGCACTTACCCTAATTTAAAATATATTTATTTATATGGTAGCTGATTAATAACTACCTTCTCCACTTGAGACTTCAAGAGGATGGGAACCATACTAGCTAGCTTTATTCATTTCTGTGCCCATAATAATAACTAACAGCTGCGGCAGCAACAACCAACGCTTACTATGTGGCAGGCAACGTGCTAAGCCCTATAGCTATAAAAATTTTATATATACTCCCAGAATAGTATCTGCCCCATAGCCAGTGGTCAGTCTGTAAACGAACGAACTCAGCCCTTATGGGTACACCTACAAGTTGCTTACCACCTCCCCAAACAGCCCAACAAGTCTGGTGGTTGGAAGGATCGTCTTTATATTGACCCCAGCCTACCTCTCGCAGTTCCCGCCCACCAATGCTATTTCTGCCCCTCTTGAGGCCACGCAGTGCAAGCCTTAATCGTCCTCCCACAGGCTCCCCTTCGCAGCATCTGAAGGCCCATCCGTCCCCCCTCGTGCCAGCCTTCCCCGTCCCTCTCGGGCCTTCCTTGCACAGGCTCCTCCGGGCTCCAGTCCCGCGGCGGGGGTCGAGGAGGGGCCCGGCCGCCTGCCCGCCGCTCCCATCATCCCCCGCCTCGCGCGTCACGTGACGGTGCCCGCCCCGCACGAGCCCGGCAACTGTCACCCTCCGGGCGGGGCTCGCGGCGCGTCCGCCTGCCGGCCTCTGGCAGCGCGCCGCAGGACTCGCGGCTCCGCGGCGGCTTCGGCGCCGGCGATCCGGGCTGCGTGGGCGAGCGCCCCCGGGAGCTCCCGAGAGGTAAGAGGCGGCGGGCCCCGCGGAGGCTGCGGGCGAACTTATTCCACCCGCATCCCTGCGATGGTCCGGGCCCCGGAGCAGGGGGCGGCCCGGGGGAAGGGCTCGGGCGCCTGCTCCCGGGGACCTGGGGCGCTTCACTAGGCGACCGGCCCTGGAGGCGCCGCTCGGTCCCGGCAGAGGCTGAGCGTCTGGCCTCGGCGGGACCCGGCGCGGGTGCTCTCAGGCCGCCCGCGGCCCCGCACTGCTGCACTCCGCTGGCACCTGGAAGCTCAGCCGCGCGGAGGAACAGCTGTGCCTTGGTTTCCCCTCCTGTAAAACGACCGGTGGGGAAGGTGGATCTCCGCGGTTGCCTTGAGCCCTGAGATTTGCGACTGTGTCTAAGTGCAGTCCAGGAGGAAGAAGCAGACTCCTGGGACGGGAAGAGCCCGCACCTAGGAATGCAGGAGCGAGTGTCTGAGCCCGGCATCTGTTAAGCGTCTTCTGTATTTTGTGCAAATTGCAAGCCTCTAGGATACTCGGTTTCTCCATCTTTAAAGTAAAGGTGATGGTGACTCGTGCTCTGCCTCCCTCATAGGACTACAGCGAAGAATGGAAAGCCATTTGAAGAGTCAGAACTCTGGAGACAGTTAGATCTGGGTTCAAGTCCTAGTTCTGCCACTTACTAGCTGTGTGACCTTGAGCGTTATAGAACCCTCATCTGTTAAAAGGAGATAATAGTACCTAGCTCATGAGGTTGCTGTGAGGATTAAGTTTGAAGGGCTTAGCACAGTGTCCGGCACAGAAGTGCTAAATAGAGCTATTAAAATTATTATTAAATTAGTAAGCTTCACATGAGGGATGTTTGGAACAATCATACTTCAGTTTCTATATATTTAGTCCCCAAAAGAGTGCTGTTTCTATTTCCTAAGAAAGGGGCCAAGTGGAACCATTTCCCCCTTTTCTCTTTCTGGGCCCCCTTTGCCTTATTTACAGCTGGCATGTGAACCTGTTGTTCCTATCAAATGAGTCAGGCAGGATGGGAACATTAATGTACTCCAACAGATGGATATCACATTCCCTCTGAGGGGAAAGAAAAGTGCCAGGCGTGCGCTACCACCAAAAAAAGCACAGTACAGTGATTGACTGTCAGAGCTGGAAGATGCCTGGGAAACCATCTAATCCAACTGGCTCCTTTTGCAAATGGAGAAGCTGGACCCAGAATGAGGTCCAGGATGACTTTGATTTTTCTCAGGACCCAACAAATGTTGGCGCTAAGTGGTGGAAAGAATGCACACTGTTTACCAGACACTGTACTTTGCCTGAGCTCTAACCGAATTCTTCATTTATTCAACAAGTATTTATGGAGCACCTGCTGTGTGCTTGTACACCTACTAAGAGCTGGAGAAGAAATATAAAAGTATTATACATATATATGTTACACACACACACACACACACACACACACACACTCCTCTGCTTGTCTCAGTATATTTTTTGAGAATTTTTATAGGAGTGTATTTGAGCAAAAATGACGCCAAGGAGCAAGAGCTCAGATGCTCCTCTCAGGACATTTTATCATAACAATAAGTTTCAGCCCCTAGTGACCATGCCTCATAGCAGCTGGCCCCAAAGGACAGAAGCACACAGAGAGGTCTGAATTGTTTCGTGATCAGTCACAGCAGTCCCAGAGCCTTTGTTGAAGGCTGATGAGATTCTAAACACTGGAGAAAATGCTGCCTTGACAGGGCTTTTAGGAAAGGGTTTCCTTCTGGCCTGGAACACTTAGATTTCTTTGTCTTTCTGGCTTGCAGGCCTCTTAATTGTTTTTAGATTTCTGAAAAAAGCCACCCTCCTCATAGTACCTTCGTTTTGGTTTCCATGGTTATCAGATGAATTGTATTTTTATGATAGCACAAGTAGCTGTTAAGTAATATGTGGTCAAGCAGTCCCCAGTTCACTCTGGTGTCTGGTGGTGGTCTTTTTTTTTTTTTTTTTCAGTTGCAGTGCAAACTATCCATCCCTTCCTTTCTCCCTTTTTCCTTCATTCCTTTAACAAACATGCATGGGTGTCAGGACCAAGAAGAGTGGGAATAAGTAGAAACAGATAAAAACAGATAAAGACCCCGGCTTAGGGACCTCAGAGTCTTTGGGGGGTAATCCGTGTGCACTACGGATGCAAGGGGCAAATCCGTGGGGCTCTGATAGGTGCAGATTGGTGCCAGCCAGAGCTCTCAGCGGTGGAAGGGATAGTGTCCTGGGCAACGAAGAAGCCATCACGTACGAGAAGCTTTGCAAGGAAGATGTAGAAGAAACAAGTTCCTTTTACTTGTCTTAGTCGCAAAGTCATGATAGATGGTACAAGAAGCATTTTGCTCTTTCCCTTTGCCTTAATGAATGAACCTTCTCTTAAGTCACCTATCACCGGCTTTGTTTGAAATGCCTGCCAGTTTCCCTCATTACCCTTTTTCTGTTACCTTAGTGATAGCATTAGTTTCCTACTCATACATGATGTTATATACATAAGGATAGATAAACAGGGACATTTGATTAAGGTTTCCTCTATTTCATTTTAGGTGTTTAACCTGTGTGTCTCATTTCCCCAGTTGGGTTCTAATGCAGTCACATATTTCTTTTATTTTAACAAGTTATCTCCCAAGTCCTTTAATGCCCTTATCAGTGAGAATTCCGGTGTCTCCCACTTCCAAGCCCCCTGAGGGCTTAAACAATCCAAAAAAGTCAGTCTTACTTCCACTTTCCAGAGGAGCAAGAACTGCAGAGTCTGAGCAGTCCACCCACATTGTTATTTCTGATACAGCTATATGGTATCACTATTGAAGAGCTGTCCTGCACGGCCCAAGGATGTGTGGTCACTGCTGCTCAACGCCCTTGTTGGACCAGGTTCCTGCCAGCTTGATCCCATGTTTGGATTCCAAGGTTAGACTCTTTTAGTTTATGCCTACACGCTTAGCCATTCTCCCCAAAGCACTGCATTCTAGCCTGTCACTTAGGCTGAGTTCCTCCAGTCTCCTGGTAAGATCTCTTTGGGGGCATGTGGGGCCCTTTTCCAGCTAGCAGCCTTGGTCAGGGTCAGCCCAGACCACGCAAGAGATTTCCCTGTTTACAAACCTTTTATCAGGGTTTGGAGGCTCAATCCCTTCTTTTCCTTCTAATCCTAATAATCCAAGGCTTTTGTCAAATTGGTTCTACTTCCTCCCCAGGATTCTGCCTACCACAGCTTCTCAGGAATGGCAGCTTTCAGCAAGGTAACTCCCTTTAGTGCCTACTCACCTTACTTTTCATATGTAAGCGGGGTCTGTCCCCAGGAGACTGTGTCTCCATCTATAGTCCTAAGAGAAGTAGGCATTATTAAAAATTTACTTGGCATGTAACCTGTTAGGGATTTGGGGGACAACGTTTTAATTTAAAAATGAAGGACTTTCAATTCCCTCAAATTTTTTAAGAATCAAACAATAATCAGTTCCCTTATTTCATTGTCTTTGTTTTAAACTTTTAAAAATATGAGCTATAATAAGAATGCCTGCAGGGAAAAACCACAAATGTCTAGTTTAACAATTCTAAGGGAGATATACATGTAACCACCGCCTATGTCAAGAAATGGGACATTGCCAATACTCAGTCACACCCACTTCCAAATCATACCCTCCTCCCCTGAAAAAACCCTGCCTTGACTTTTGTGATAATCATTTCTGTGCTTTTCTTTGTACTTTTGCCACTTATATTTTGTATCCCTAAACAATATAGTTTACTTTTACTTGTTTTTAAACTTCATACATCTAGAAGCATACTGTGTGTATTTTGTGTTTGCTTCTTTTGCTCAAGTTGTATGTGAGCTGCATCCACGTGGTGACTGCACTTATTTTCATTGCCAACAGTGTTTCATGATATGAACGTGTCACAATATATTTATTTATTCATCCCATGGTTGATAGGTATCTATGTTGCTTATAGTTCCTGAATACGAAAAACAGTGCAGCCAAGAACATCCTTAAACATTTTCTATGTGAACAAGTTTCTTCGGGTTATATATGTCAAAGTGGAATTAATTGCTTTGCCAGATAATGCCAAACAGCTTTCTAAGTGATTGTACCAGTTTCCTTCCAGCCAGCAGTATATGAGAGTTCCAGTTGTTTCACATCCTTGCAAGTACTTGGTATTGTCAGTTTAAAACTTTTTTTTTTAACTATTCTTGGTGTATAATGATATCTCTTGTGATTTTAATTTTCTTTCCTTGGTTACCACTGGTGCTGAGCACTCTTTCACTGGTTAATTGGATGACCTCTTTTGTCAACTGCCTGTTCAAATCTTTTGCCAATTTTTCAGGGTTTCTTAGTGATTTGTCAGAATTCTTGATATATTTTGGCTAGTGGTCCCTTGTCAGTTGTATGTTTCAAAAATATCTCCTATTCTGTGATTCTCTTTCACCCTCTTAAATGGTGATGCTTTAGACCCTATTCTGTAGAAGCAGGACCTAAAATGGGGGTTCTTGTTCAAGTGATGTATTGGGAGAAGTACTCAGGAAAAGGAGAATGAGGGAAGCAGGATGGTTGGGGGGAAGGAGAGAAAGAGAGAGGTAACCAGGTAAGGTGGCAATTTTCTGGAGAAAGGGCGTCTGTGAGTTGTTATCAGCCGAAACTTCTATCTGGGGGTTGGGTGTGCTAGCCACTAAAGAGGATCTGAGTGGGGCACCAATGATATTCTCTACAGTTCATTTCAATCCGTTCCCTTTTAAGCTTAAATTTACTCCATCCAGATTCAGCTTCTCCAGGGTTTTGGTTGGTCACAATTTCTGGGAAACCTTACAAGAGGAATCTTAGTGAGACAAACTACAATCCCT